CGCGCACGCACACGCACACGCACACGCACACGCACACGCACACGCACACACGCACTCGCACACGCACACGCACACGCACACGCACACGCACACGCACACGCACTCTCTCACACACACACACACAGTTCCATCTAGAAGCTCGGCCCATGAGGGTTGGGGGCAATGGCCAGGATGCAGACGCAAGTCTTGTAATTTCCATGCAGGAAGGTTTCTTTCTGAAAAATATTGAAGTTCAGGCACTCTGGAATAACACAGGCCCATTGAGGACTGGTGACGGGTGGCTAAAGACGAAAACGAGGTTGGTCGAACATTTCATTTCTGGGCGATGTTTGCCATGTTTCCCCCCGAGAAAAGCTGCACATGGGAAAGGAACATGTCCCAGTCTAGCCTAAGTGAGACCTGCGTAGCTTGGCTGAGGAGTTTGCCTCGTTCCGATTTCCTAGGAAGAAGTTGACCTGCAGGTCTATGCTCGCAGGATATCCGGTCGGCATCGTGTTGGAGTGGTGCCTCGACGACTGGAGTCAGATTTACCAGCACCTCTGTGTTGCTGTGCCTGCTCGGCCGTGCAGGTGCCTCCATCAGTTCCTGAACATGTGCTGCGCTCCGTTGCGTGCGGCCCAGCTCTGGACAAGATACCGGGAGAGCACGGACTGCCCATGGCCCTTGCGCGAGAGAGAGAGAGAGAGAGATGCCAGCTTTGGCTACTGTTTTGGCTCAAGTACGGTGCTTGGGGGCCTGTGCCTCCTCCTTGCATCGGGGGGAGTTGTGGGGTTAACCTGGAGACCGCTCCGGGACAGCCTTCGCATATTTCCCAGCAGTGCTTGAGTCTTGCCGCGCCTTTTTCCCAAGGCCCTGGTTTGAGCCACTCTCCGACCTGACCACGGCGCTCCTTCGGAACGGGGGGTGGCCCGTCAGTAGAGGTAGAGAGCATACTACTTGTTTGCGGAAGTCTCCCGTGATCCAGCAGCACTACGAGTACCACGACGTCGCCAATCATCAGCAGAGACAGCACCCCAGACCGGGGGGGAAGACACGGAGGACAACCTGGACCCGAGCAGGTTGCAAAACCCTTGACCCGAGAGGAGCAAGACGCCCTCGCGGAGAAACTCAGGAAGCTGGGTGTGATTGCAAAGCATGTTTGTAATGACCTTCCTGGCACAAGGCCACACTGGTGGCACATGCTACAACACGATGCTTGCCGTGGGGGCAATCACTTCCACGGCCAGTACCAAGCACCGCGCGGGGGAATGCCGACCCAGAGGAGAACCCGCTCAACTTGCAGCACAACCCGGAGGCAGTGCAACATGGTAAGGACTGGGGGAACCCCTGGCAGAGTACACCCAGCACGAAACCGAACGGGGCTGGTGTTGCATTATGAACCAGACCCGCAGGAATACTGGACCAACCGGCGCGTGCTGCCGGACCGAGGGGATTCCTCAAGGACGGCGACACGGGGAGAGCCCTGGAAGCCACAGGTGAGAGAGACTACCAACGGTAGCCGAGATTGTTCTTTCATGTCGGCTGTGGGAAGGACGCAGCGACCTTTGTCGTCGATCCTAACCACAGGAAGCTGCAAAGAACATGGGCGATGACCGCTGCGGTATGCTTTCTGAACATGCGGCTTCAGCGAAACAAGCCACTGGGACACCAAGGACCTGAAGGCTCCAAGTTCACACGCTTCGCACAGTTGGTGGTTGCCCTCGAGAGACAACGGTCCCACGGCAGAGCCATGCTGCTGGTGGAGAACGTGATCCCGCAGAACCGTGCCGACATGCACGAGATCGACAAAAATTTTTGGACGCGCCTGCCGTGGTACATGACACGGCCGACTTCGGAACGATCTCCAGGCCGAGGGTCTGGTGGTGCCGCATTCCATGGCAGGAGGTTGCGCATCGCAAAGGTTGCCCATTCGACCTGCGATGGACGATCATGCAAGGTATACCACGTGTGCACTTCGACATGCCCAAGGACGACATGAAGACCTTGATGACGGACGGCCTTACGCTTCCGCGTTGCCTCACGGAAGAGCTCAAGCCCTTGCCTTGCTTGACGACGCCTTCGGATGATCCAAATGGGACACTCGCGCCATGCAGCGCATGGGCAAGATCAGCACCGAGGCGACACAACGGTGGCTCGCAGATAAGAGCCTCTACGTGCCGTGCCGCTACGAGTCAGGTTCATTTGCAATCACTTCGGCTGGCAGGACCCTGGCATCTTTGACGAGCTCACACACGGTTTTCGACTGTTGGGACCTCTATATAGCGCCCGGCCTGGGTTGGCGGAAGCGCTACGATCTCCGCTATGCAAACCCTCCGGATGTGTCTGAGTTCCTCCAGAAGAATGAGCGTGAACGACAAGCTTCGCCGCTCACCCCGTGCTGCAGCTGGCAAACGAGATCGCCAAGGACGTGAAGTGCGGCCGCATGGAAGGGCCATTCACCAGCCCGACGTCGTGGCCCAAACAAGCTGTCCCGCTCGCCGTCTACGAGCACACGAGACGAGTGAACTACGCCTGGCCCCGAAGAACACAGACCAACGTGCTTCCTTCGCAGTGCACCAGGTCGGCTCCGACAACGAGCCCAAGGTTCGCCGCGCCGAAGACTGGAGAAGATCCTTCGCAAACGCCACAGTCGGAGCATCGGACAGCCCGACATAGCTAGCGGTCGCCATAAAAAGATCGACCCCGGAAGTGCGCCTGGTCATCTGGGGCTTGGACCATGAAGCCGCCTAGCGCCAGCTAGCAGTGGAAGATCCCGACCACACGTGGGTCGTGCTGCCGATGCCGTTCGGCATCATGCTTTGGAGACACAGTCTGGATGTTCGGCTCCGTCGCCTCGGTGTGGGCATACTGCCGAATGGCAGACCTCATGTCATGGCTTTGCTGCGCATGTCTGGTAACGACGGCGCTTCACCTCGTGGACGATTTGGGCAGCTGTGAAGATGGCCAGCTAGCTACTTTCTTCTTTCGACTGCTCAACGCGTCTTTACCGAGCCTTGGGGTTTTCCTTTAGGCAGTCTAAGGAGCAGCCTCCAGCTACGCAACAGGTCATCCAGGGCGTGGACATATCCGTGCAGTGCAGTCCGACCACATCAAGAACAGTGGCACCACTACGTCTACTGGCAGTCGACGGACGAGACAACCGCATCGAATAGAGAGCTTGGCCACGGCATCGGGCTAATGCGCTGCAGCTTGCGCCCCGGATGCTTCTGTTTGATCTACGCGGATGCTTTCTTCAACCTCTTCCAGAGAGAATGGAAGCCTTCCGACGAGGACATACCCTGCTGGGGACGTACTCCGCCATAATCCGCCATAGACGCTTCGCAATGGTCGGGGCTTCGTCGCCACGACAGGCGACGGAACCTTCTATGCGCACGGCATGGTGCCATACTGGTTCGTACGAGAGTTCTCGGCAGGCGAGCATACATCTACATGTTGGAGATGGTGGCACAGGTCTTGCCGGTCATCGCCTTGCATGACAGACTCGCCCAGTACGTCATTATGTTCGTCGACGGCGAGCCAGCTCGACACGCACTCTCGAAAGGCTTTGGGAAGGATGAGGCCATCAACTGTCTACTGCAGCACAGCTGGCGATACGTCGAATCGCTGTGGCTACGCCCGGCCCGACAAAGAGTTACTTCATCCGCCAATGTAAGCAACTCGGTCAGCAGAGGTGACCTTCGCCACGCTCGAGCCGAAGGTTGGACACTGGTTGAGCGCGACTGGGACGTCGTCTTCGAAGAACTTTTGGGGGGCGCTGAAAGGTTTAGGGCTTCCGGCGTGTTTCACCTATGGTGGTATGCACCGCCTCGCATCGATCGCGTCGGAGACGTGTTCGATTCGATGGCTGAGACCGGTTGCATTTCGCCGCCTGCCGCTACGCTTCCAAAACAGTTTATCTTGCGCGAAAGCGAGATGTCGTGCAGTGCAACTTGTTGCACGGAATGACATGTACGAGCGGCAGCAGCCAGCAGATACCGCAGCTGCTGTCCGCTCGAGATTTCAGATTTTTCGAATCCCGCCCTCACCGCTCTTCGTGTTTATTGTTACATATTGTCATATTGAAGTGGTGGGTCCGCCTCGCATCGATCGCGTCGGAGACGTTTTCGATTCTATGGCTGAGACCGATTGCATTTCGCCGCCTGCCGCTACGCTTCCAAAACAGTTTATCTTGCGCGTAAACGAGATGTCATGTGAAACCCTTTCCAAACGAAGTCCAAGCCTTAGTGGAGTTAGCCAAATTTTCTATTCGCCCCACAACTAACGCGTGCGGTGAGGAGGGGCTACCCCCTCACCATAGCCAGACCATAGCCCTGGCAAAAGAAAGGCCCCTCGGGGCCTACAAGGCGAAATAAAGAGGTGCAACCGAACCTGCGCCGTCGAGAGCCAGGCCCCTGCAGCCGGAGGTCAAGACGCAGCCACGATCAGGAGGCGCATCACGTGCCGCAAGCATTGCACAAGGAGGACTGGCCAATCACCAGTGTCTATTTCTTGCGATGGCTGCACAACGAGCACACCTCCCAAACTTCCGCTTCCAAAGATGTAATATGTTTTTGGGAGTGTGCCAGATCGTGCGCTAGGATAGGACGTGTGAGTTCGGGGACATGTGTTCGAATACCACATCACGCTCGCCTCGCCCTCTCTGTCTTCTGGAGGCATGGGATCCATTTATCGTTGGCTTTGGCGGTATCTCAAGCCACTTACTTTGCCAGCGGAGGTGGGCTGCAAATCAAAAATTCGCAGCAGGGTATTGAAGCCAAGTTGCAGGTGGCGGACGTCTTTGAGACATCCGAGAGTTTGCACCGTCAGTTTCCGCGACCATGCAGGCAAGACCACAAGATGTAGTTAGGGGTTGTTGACACATATGGCGCATGTTTAATTTAAGCATGCAATGCTGACAAAGGTGACATTGAACAGTACTGCTATTACAAGTTGTTATGCATTGCCGTCAAACGACCCGCGTCTATGCAGAAGCTGCTCGTCGATCTCTCGCAATGCAAGTAAGCCACCGGCATCAAAAAAAACAGGGCGACTCGATGCACTCTGGCCATCCTGATTTTGGCCGCTGGTTACCAGAACATGCGTGATCCAGCGTGTTTCTCAGCTGGCACTTTCAAGCAGCACAGCAGTACGGCTTATGCATGTCGTAACAAGGCGCATAGCAAGGCGTGCTTGCCACTAGTTTTGCAGTTTGCCGCGCGCAGGTGCATGAATGGAAGACAGTTGACAAAAAACTTCGTTGATTCGTGCGAGAACTCATTACTCAGGTCAAGAATTTCATTGCCACGTGCGAGGAGATCGCGCCTGCAGCGCTGACGCGTTGGCGAGCTCTGTTCTCCCCGCTGCCTTCGCACAATTTCGCAATTTGCCCGCGTGTTGCCAGCACATGGGGCATCCGTCCATCGTCTTCAAGAGCCGCCAGGTCACAGTCGAGTTATGCTGCAATGTGTTTGTTGCCCGCTGATTCGACCGGAGGGGCTCATTACGGACTACCTTGATGGATACAAGTGGTTGAAGGCGCGAATCTCACAAGCAGCGATTTCGCGCCCCAGGCACTAAACGTGATGTTTGCCTGGAGGCTAACACGCCATCGGATGCGCGGGTCATGGCATGGTGGGACTACGGCTACCAAATCACCGGCATAGGTTCCGCCCCCAATGGGATGACATGAGGTAATTTCCCGACCAGTCAGATCGAATGTCATCTACGACCTCAGGAAACCGAACGTCTATTGCAGATGGCAATACTTGGAATCACGAGCACATCGCTACACTTGGCCGTTGGAGACCTTGGCTTGCCCTACCCTGAAGTCCCCAAGCCATGCCCTGGGACCAAGGAACGTTGACGAACCCAGAAAAGAAGGCTCACAACATCATGCACCATCCTGAGTGGGTGGTCTTATTGTCACAGCAAGTGGCAAGAAGCGTTTTGCAGAGGCGGCACCTAGCAGACTACGTGTTGGCCAGACCTAAGAGCAGGCGGTCAGGCTCAGGTGGGTCAACGGGCACCGAATTCAAGACACCAAGGTCTGGGCGGGTGGCCAAGGCGATGACATGGGCAAGTCGCCCCACTTGGTTGTGGCCTCAAAACACTCAGCCAACGCTGTCACGGCTGAGCGCAGTGACGTTAGCATTGTGATGCCAGCTCCTCTCAGATGATGAGCCTGAGGCACGCATAGCCAATTCCGTTTTCCCAGACGCTGCAAGCTAAGTTGCTTTGTCTGCTTCAATCCGCAAGTCAGGGCCACTGGAAGTCATGGTGAGAAGTCCGGCCATGCACCTGGGTTCAGGTTTGTGGCGAAGATGATCCAACCTGTAGGTGCTTCTGTTCGTTGACTATTATATCAGTTGACCATTCGCAACTGCTATCTCGTTGTCGCTTCCACGGGTTCTTGTCCCGGTGCTAGGAAATTTGGCTTCTATGCTGGTGGCCAACCCACCGAGATGATGGCAGCATCTTTCCTCTACAAGGTTTCAACTGCTCGTAGCACCCAGTACATGATCCGCAATACAACAGACAGGCCGTGAGGCACAACATCGACGAAGGAGTCCGATTGGACGGCAAGTTGTTCCAAGAGGCCCAGTCAGAGCGCCAGACGACTTACGCAAGAACCAGATGTTGCAGGTGTTGCTGGTAGCGATGCAAAAGCAACTCGCGCCAAACTGCGAATGCATCTGTCCATTCCTCCAATAAAGGGCACGGGCGAGATGGTGGGCACAACGCAACCAGTGACAGTTAGCAACTCCATTCGGACTTCGGCACACACACACAGAGTCAGTGTGTGTGTGTGTGTGTTTGTTTTTGTCTGCCTAATGCCAAGGCCACATCTCGAAACAAAGGAGTGGGTAGCTTGTAAAAGTATGGCCACCACCAGCCCGGAAATGGCTGCACGATTTTGTTTCAACTGACTTCAGTGCCATTGGCCATTGCAGGAAGGTTTTTTGTGTGTTGCAATATCGTGGGGGGTGAGTGGGTTAGTAAGCAAGTGATTGTATGCACCTGCATCGTTAATGGGAGCAGGGGTCACGCCCATCTCTGCCGTTTGGGTTTAGGATTCGGCGTTGAGGGGCTAGGCACCACAGGGGCAGACGGCATCCACAATCTACCGTGTACAACGAAGCCATGGATGTGGATGGGACATCCTGGACACCTGCAAACCCCTTGTGACATCCGGATCAGTTGATGCCCCCCCCATTGTACTGCAGGAACCAGCAGCGCACAACGCCAGCTTTTGTCATCACGGTGCGGTTCGTTTCCATAGCAAACAACCGCAGCTTTCCGTCAGCCAGTTCATTTGCTATTATGAGGTATTCGGTATTCGGATTCGGGCCGCCGACGAAATGGGGTGCGAGATTTCTGTTTGATTTCTGATCAACTGGGCTCCCTGTGCTGACCCTGAACCCCTGCTAGCGGCTAGTGTTTCATATTTGTTTCGGGGTTTAGGAATCCCAGCCTCATGTAGTTTGGGAGTCCCGAGTCCCAACCTCGAGTCCCAGATCAGCCGTGGCAAACATTGCGGCAGCTGCAGGATCAGGGCAAGGTGTGTTGTGGATGGGATCTCCAGCATGATCAGCTGGACGGAAGGATGGACCTCCATTGGCATCCAAATCAGTCAATGGCATGTTTGTGCAAGCGGGCGCTTATGCGCATATGTGTGTGATATTGTGTGTGAGTGCGTGTGCGCGTGCGTGCGTGCGCGTGTGTCTGTACCTCACGGAAGCAAGGTGTCACGCGGCCACGTGACACGACATGCTGTTTCGCTGATCTAACTACCAGCATTCTTTGAACAGACAACTTGTGCTTGGGGAGTGTGGGACTTGCATCCTACGACACTCAGCGAAGCTGTGTATTCAAATGGGAAACTGCGCCGGGTTTGATCAGTCAGATCAGAAGGTGGGCCCGCTGTGGCGCCAAGATTAGCAGTTTTCCAGCCTCGTTGCAAGCTTTTCAGGGTAGGGACTGCAACAACCACGGTTGCAGCGCTTCTTTCTTGCGATCCAGCAGCTCACCAATCAGTATGTCGCAACGCTTTGCAGTGTCGCGAAGGTGCATACAACCAAGCACGGGCTTATGCGAATCTTCAAAGAGCAGAGCTTAGCTGACGCATTTCGGAGAGCTCAGTTCCGATCCTTCGCCTCCAAGGTGCTGGGGGTTTCAGAAGAATCCAAGGCTGCGATGCGAAGCTTTGCCTCGTCTCTACGAGTAGTCATCGCGAGCACAAGTTCGTGAAGTGAAAGTCCAACCAGAAGTGCAAAGTTCTCATGCCCTGCAGAAATGGGTGGCAGATCCTGCGAACCGCAAATGTGACGCAGAAGGTAGCTGGTACTGTGTCGGCTCCTGCCTAAGTTCACGGGACAGTGACCCCTCGAATTGTCGGTTGCCGGCTGTCCACTTGCAAGGTCAGTACCCGCCAGCATTGCACAAGCTCATTTCAAAGCGAAAGAACTTCGCCCAGCTCGAGGAGAGATGGCTTGGCCAGTGCTTGTTACACCCCTCCATGTGCTGTCTGTCGCTCAACCAGGACTTCAACCGAAAAGATGGAGAGAAAAGTGCCTACACTCGTATGGTGCCTTCATTGAGTTTCTCTTAGACAAAGGAAGCACCAGATTAATCATTAGATGGGCTGATTATGGGGTCGGTCCATGCCAATGTACTTCTATCCGATTCTGCCACAGCTGTTTTTGCACAACAATGCGCTGCCAGAGACAAATGGGTGAGGCAATGAGGCTTGGTGGCTTGGCTCTGAGAATTTGTGTTTGCTTTCTGCTTGGTTCGAACTTGAAAAATCTGCTATAGAACGTGCCGTTGTAGGAATATGAGAAGGTAAAGCATGTCGTTTCAGAGTCCTGCAGCGTGGTCGGATCACGAAATGAGCTCGCAATTAAACATCCAAGATAACCCAAGAAGTAGCTTTGCACTGCCTTCCGTTGTTCTGTGACAGCGTGACACTTGAATGATTGGCTGGACTAAGGTCGCCTATGCTTACTGCATACGCGGCGAGGACAACTCTTGCCAGCTGGCAAGCGCGCATTCAGCCAGACGGACCCCAAGCAGACAGGAGTCGAAGTCAACGTTGTCAAGCTTCGGTCCTCGAGCAGGTTGCCCTGGGTGTCAGCAGCACTTGCGGCCTCGTGCGCAGGCATTTACGCGCTTGTGGTGCAGAAGCAGCGGTGGGACCGAGAAGCTCGATCAATGAAGGAAGCTGTCGAAGCTGAACTGCGCAGAACGAGAATGGAAGCCGAAGCTGCTGCAGCGGCCGAAGCAGAAGCAGCCAAAGAAGCAGAGGCGCAAGCTGCACAAGCAAAGGCCGCGAGGGAAGATGCAGAGCGAATCCAAAAGGCGGCGATGGCCAAGGAATCGCAAGAGGCACAAGAAAGGGCACGAAAGGACTTGGAGCGGCGACACGCTGAATTTGCAGCCGTAGCTGGGCAATGCTCCCAATTACTGGCAGATCTCAAACTGGTGGTGGAGGCTACGGACTATGTTGAAGCGGCTCCGCACGCGGAAGGCCTTTCAGAATTTATGCAGCAGGCGCAGGCTTTCGTTGATGGAGAGTCCTTCAAATCCCTGCAGGAATCGTCATTGGACGGAATGGCTGAGCTTACAGCCCAGTGCGCTTATGCCCTGTCAGCGGCCAAAGATCACCTGGCGAAACTGTCCAAAGCACAGGCTGCAGAGATGCTTTATGAAGCAGCAGCAGCCGAAATGCGTGCTGAAAGGCAAAAATGGCTTTTGGGTGAAGATGTGGATGCACCGGCTTTGGAGAGTGCCCTTAGTCGTGCACAAGATGCGTTGTCCGAGCTGAGAAGTTGTGGCCTGGAGATGAGCTTAGAGACCATAGATGGCAACCAAGTCTCGGCTGCGCAATCGGTTCTTTCAGAGCTTGAGGATGCGAGGCAGAAAGAGCAAGGCTGGAAGCAGAATAAACAAGCACTGCAAAGTGCAGTTGCAGCTCAGGATGCTGCTGCCTGTGAGAGTGCTGTGAAGGAGGCCAGTATGGCCGATTGCCCGCTATCAGCTGCCATGGCACTTGCTGAGGAGATGAGCCTCCCAAGACAGATTGACTTATCTGAGGTCGCGAAAGGCATGCAACTAGCACCTCTTTCAGAGCAGAGTGGCGAAGTCGACTATGTTGCAGCAGCTGCAGCAGCCAGTTCTTTCGTAAGCAGCTCCGAGCTGTCGGACCAGGCCTCCTCCTTGGCAAAAGAGATTGCCGCGCAGTACGTGCTGGATAAGCAAGAACTCGCACATGCTTCGCAGTTCCTGTTGCCAGAGTGGGCGAATCAATGCTCTCAGAAAACCGATAGGCTCTCACGTGATTTTGCTGGCCAGAAATCGAAGCAAAAGCTGCAGCTCATTCAGGACATCCAGCAAACTGCTGCCGAGCGCCGCAAGCAGGCAATCAGTGAAGCCATTGGTGAGGTGCAAGACGAAGTTGAGAAGGACATCTATTCTTTGCAGTCGGCACAGATGCAAGCCCTGTGGGCAGAGCTAGCCCAAGTTCGTGGCAGCTTTGACGACCAGTTGCGCAGCTTGGGACAGGCCCCTGAGCAACTGCAGCAGCTGTGGAGCTCTGACAGAAGTCCAGACGCCCAGGCTAAGAGTGTCAGTCTCTCAACTCTGAACGTTCTAGCTCTGAGAGAAGCAAGCAGGGAGGAGCATGCAGAGAGCGCTGACGCATTCACCAGCAGCGTAACAGCTCATGTGATAACGGAGCTGACGGCGCTTGGAAAGGGTAGCGTCGAAGAGATTCCGACACAGCAGGAGCTGCAGCGGTCCTTCCACGACGAGCTGCCAAAACTTGTCGCTGCGGTCTTTGAACCCCGAACTGGGCTTGCCAGTGGCTTTGTTGGCCGAATGTTTGGTAGGATGTATGTGCTGAGAAGTGAGCAAGAGGAGGCATCAACACACGCTGCTCTGGAGTCCAGACTCGGACAGCGCATTCCGACAGTCGCGCCGGAGGATGGCGTACACAGGCAGAACCAAAAGAACAATCTCCGCACGCTGGCCCTGGCAATGCACTTAGTGGACACCGGTCGCTTGGCAGAAGCCGTTGACACTTTGGACGGCTCTTTGAGGGGCCCTTGTCGCTCTCTGGCCGATGGTTGGATGTCGCTTGCACGCATGAGCTTGCTACTGCAGCAGGCGTCTGAAGCTTTGCTTGCTCGATCCCTGTGCCTTAATGCCGGCCTGTCGGACTAGCGCCCTTCAAGATGGGGCACGCATGATTGTGGATGGATTTGATTGAAATCTGCATCTTCTCTAGGGGAGCAGCGCTGCCCCCGAGCCTGAAAAGGATCGCTCCAGTGTTCCACTTAGGCTTGTGCCATTGCCACCCGAGCCCCAGGCTTTTAGACCATCCCTGGTCCCTTTGCACACTCTGCACTGTCAGAGCATCAGCTGGAAGCATTCCTTTGCCGACTGGCCAGGTGGAGGAGAAGATGAAGAGGGAGGAAGCTGGCTGGGACGATCACATCTGAGGAACGCATGTGCGCTGCGTCTGCAGCAAGTGCGTGAATTGCCTGCAGCACCAGCTGAAAGTGCGAAAGGTATCAGCGAAGGGCAGGAAATGCTTAGCGGCAGTGAAAACACAAAAGTGTGCTTAGCTGCTCACAGAGCTGAAGCGGACATAGCAACGTTCACTCTTTGCACCTCAAGCGCAGCACAATACTGGCTCTTGCAACATGCCGTATCAACTGCAAGACGGCATCGGCTTTGCATAATTGGCGGGGGGTTCGTGCATAGTCGTGCATACTCGTGATTTCACATTCCCAGCTGATGCAGGAATTGAGCCTGGATTTCGAAGTACCAATGTCAGAATTTCCCGGTCTTGCTCCGCTTGCCCTGCTGTGCGTGGTCGATGTTCTCCTGGGTGCCGGCATGGCGCTTGCACGGAGGCGGAGGCCACGGGAGGCGACACAGCTCAACACCGTTGTGAATTTGTTTGCTTGCGAGGATGGGAGTCAATCTTTTGCTGGCTTCTAGGCTGCACGTGCCCGACCAGACACCGAGACAGCAGCCAAGGGATGTCAAGGGCTCACGTGGTAAGCTTTACTTTCATCGCTGGGCCAGCATGGCCCAGCTACGGAAGTCTGGGGCTTTCCAAACTTTGGGAATGTTTGAGCGGTTGGGTGTCAGTCGGTGCTGGTATTGACGCGCCCTAAATCTGATGTTGCAGTCTGAGATCTGGTTCGATTTCATCTCGTTACCGAATAGCACTGAACTGGCGGGTGGCGACTACTGTACAGGGACCTTGAAAGGGGTCGAGATCGGATCAGGCAGTGACCTCGAAGCCGGTCCGTGAAGCACGGAAGACACCCACTTAGCCAAGTTGTGAGAGCCGGCTATTGGACTTGCGACCACAGTACATTGAACCAGAGCATGCAGCAGAGGGTCTTCAGGCCAGCCATACTTAGCCAGGCACACTTCGTCGGATTTCGAGATGTGAGCATCAGAGTAAGTTTGGCCGGGTGCCTAGGATCCGTAGCTACTTGGAGTTGACATTACTTGTTCTTCGACCGCCCCGTAGTTGCCGGAGTGTGCAAGCCAAGAGAGTAGAAGAGGAGTGTGATTCGACAGAGCCGCAGCTTGGGCAACACAAACCAACTGTGCAGAGGCCAGAAACTATGCCAGGACTCGTAACTGTTACTTAGCCGATGCCGATACGACGTGCTCGTCTGAGGGCTTGACCTGGTCGCTGGCTTTGGCTGAGTCGCCGTCGAGCCTTGGAACCGGATGGCTGGAAAGTGAAACCATAATGTGATTTCTGCAGCTTGTGCTGATGCATTTCGCACGCATGCTGGACTTGTGCTGCCACGAAGTAAGTGGTTGGTGGCCAGGAAAGAAGGTGTGCACATCTGCCTGGCCCTCGGAACACGGCAGCTGCAATCAGAGTCCAAGTACAGGCCCACCTGTATCCTTAGGCCATTTTGCGAAGATTCCAAGCACCCAACCAATCACCAACAGATACTTCTGAGTAGATATACAGCGGGACCACGTGGGGAGACGTAGTCAGGCCCAACCCCGCAACCCATATGCTGGGTCCTTTGAAGCGCCGAGTCGGGAGCAGAACCGACCAACTTGGGGGCGTGCCGGGCAATCCTGAATCCCCCAGAAAGCATTCTGGCAGAGCACGGTTCCAATGCCAGCGTCCCCACCCCTCCCAACATGTTAACCCAAAGGACGCAACAACGGGGAGCACCCAGTCAGACACACTCGCTCGTTGGTCAATGTTGACCAAGCCGTGACTTGAGGCTTGCTGAACTGCAGATGTTGACCGTCGTGTCACTCACTGTACACATATTCGCATGTCTACATCATGTCCTGACAGACTGCTGCACATGGGCGATGATGATGATGATGATGGTGATGATGCATGAGTGTTGGTTTCTGTTGGGTGGTGATTGGGTCCAGCCCCCCGCCAGACGTACAAGAAGGGTGGTGACGCAATCGTGCCCGTGGTACGACCGTGTATGCTAGCCCTCAAAAGATCCTCACATGAAACATCGAAGATGTTTCGCTATAGCAAACGTCGAAAGGGTTTGCTGCGATTCAAGGTCTTCGAATGGCTGTTGCCATTTCGGCTAAGAAGGCCTCCCAACGGGAGGCTATTTTGAAGAGCTAGGGTGAAAGGGAACGGACTAATAGCCCCGCTTTGCCGCCATGTCGGAGGCTAGCTCGGATACGAAGCGCAGCCCAACGGAGATAGTGCCCAGCAGCAGTCCTGAGCACAACCCCCCGAGGCTGGGGGAGCTCTGCTAGATGGTGATTTACAGCCGCTATTGGGACAACCAGTGCTAGTCCCGAATCTCCTGGCGGATCAGGGGATGGGCGCGCTGGAGCTGGCCACGCAGACACTCGACGAGTGCGGGGCAACTGCGCGGCAAATCTGTGAGGAGCTAGAAGTTCCCTGCCCTGGAGGCAGTCCTGGAGTGGGACCGGGATGCTAAGCGAGAAGCCCGCCTGTTACATAGGGCTTGTGGTGCCTTCTCAGGAAATATGGAGCGGCAACAGCTATCGCCACCGATAAAGGTGAAAGAGCCGATATTGGCGATGGTTCCAGATCCCAAACCCCCTCCAAGGGAAGCCAGTTGATGGCTTCATCTCCCGAGCAAGGGAGGGGCGCTTAATTACTGGAGTTACGGATAGCGAAGCTGAAGCAGGAGCTAAAGGACATTTACGGCTCGCTACTGGGTTCGGGCTGCTCCAGGAAGACGCTAACCACAAGCGGGACCACTTGCTACCGCGACTGGGGCCGAACGGGCTCTTGGAGAGGAAGATGGCGTTTTACGCCGACGTTATGGTGGCTGTGCACAGTTGCGGTGTGACACTGGAGACGTTCCGGACAAAGCCGGAAACCGTCTTGAGCAGCGTCAGTTTCGGAGCATTTGTGGTGCGTCCCTATGCTAGCTTTTGGGACCCCCGCCACCTCAAGAGCTTGGTTCTCATAGAATGGCATACTCACGCCACAGGAACTCTGTCGCGTCAGTGTGCCATCACACAGCTGCTTGCGCCGACGACCAGGACAGGCCAACCCAAGAGATGGCAGGCACCTTGCCCGGCAAACTTTTTGCAATCAGGAGTGGCCCTCTTCGTCCATGGACGAGAACAGTACGCACACACACACACACACGAATTCCCGAGATGCTGTCTGCTGCCTGACACATTTTTTGTGCCGAATGCTGTTGTTGTTGGTGCGAGGAATCTGCGACATTGACCGCAGTTCAGTGTCGCGGCACGGGCTGTTAGAGACTTCCTGCTGTTGATGTTGCGCGGAACGTGCATTTTGCAAACTGCTGTTCCAGTTGCACAGCCCACGCTGCTAGGACTACCGTTATCCGTTAGCAGCTGACGACTTAGCTGTTGCGTGGCGCTGTGTGATGTGATAGGGTGTGATAGGGGGTGGAAGCTAGGCTGCTGTCTCTTGTCAGGTTTGTGGTGAGGATGCGGTGCTGGATGTAGTCGCGGTCGTCAACATTCGTGAACAAAAAGATGTCCTACTTCCTGCAGAAGCGCATGCTCTCTTGCGTACTGCACATCTACTGAGAAAAGAAGAGAGTAACACATCCAGACAAGTTTAGCGGAGGTAATTCACCTGCCCTTGCACTAAACGCACAATAACCACACCTGCGCTCATGTCCGACACACATGCCCTTACACATGTATTCTATCGTTGCCATCGTGCTTCGGTCAGAACCAGACTTCGCCGCGATGTCATGGAATACTGAGCGTGGCCTTCCGCGAGACTGAATAAACGTCAGGCCGGCATCGGCACGCACAACTACCGCCCCCAAACTAGGGCCAACACGGCGCCGTGACGGAAAGCCGTAATCATACTTGGTCGCTGATAAATTCGTCACCTGAGGCTTGTAGAACTGCACTTGGTGGCAGCTAAGATGTTCAAACGCCAGCCAGTGAGGAAAAGACTGGCAGGCAATGTTCCTCTCTCAATCTAGTTTCATGTAAGCTAATCCAGCCTTGTCTAGTCTGATCTGATCTCTCGTATCGAATATCCATAGCAGAAGCTAGAAAGTTGTAAGATTATTATCCTTATGCCCTTGAAGTAAAGTATATGGGATCCTGGCACGAATCATCCTAAACCCGTGTTCCAACTTTCTGGGGTTCGCTGTAGTATCTAGCATCAAATACCGTGTTCAGGTTGGTAGCCTTGGCTGCTCTGCATGTGCGCTAGCTTAGTATTGCCCAGCAGAGGAGAGCATAGAAAACATGCATACCTGCAAGCCTGCAAGGTTACATGCAGACGGGCATACATACATACATCCTTAAGCACATGGCTAATCTTAAAGATTACATGGTAGATGTATGTGGGGCTGCCTGACCAAGAAGTGGCTGGACTTCTTGTGCGCCCAAGCGCCCAGGCCGAGACACACCTGGCTGGTCGAACGGGTGGTCAGGCTGCGCTTGGCTGCCTGGTGGCAAGGACAGATCACCTGCAGCTCCTTCGAAATAGTCCTAGGTATGTGCATGTGTCTAGGGACTGATCTCTGGCAGGATCCTGCACTCTGCAGACCGACCATCAATGCCAGCTGGCCATCAACCTCAGGCTGAGCTCTCAAGCACGCAGTCCCGCCTATTCAGTTGCGCGTCGTGTTCCAGGTTGGACTTGTGAATACTACCGGCAGCAGGGCCTTTGCGGGAAGCTGAACGGCGTCGTCAGGGAGATCCGACAGTCTGCAAGGCCA